AAGGAAGCAAAGAAAACTGTGCTTTCTTAATAAAAGATAAAAAGGATCCATGATCTATGTGCGAAGCATTTGAAAGAAAAATCAGTTGGTTTCCTTGAAGGTTGCTTTGGAATGGCAATTTTTCTTTTTGTTCCATGTCTTCCCTACTTAAACGACTCGACTCTACTCAGCCGTAAATCACGGGTCGCTCGTTGTTAAGTAGAGCCTCTCTTCGTTGAGGAATGGTGTCACTACCGACATCAACGCTGGCGGCTGGTTTTTTCACGACAAAGGTGAACAAGTCCAAACTTCTATGCCTATATACATTAGATATTATGTTTTGCGACAGAAAATGACGTATCCGACGATTATGTGACCGTTTTAGTGTGTGTTTTCTTTAACCTCTCAGAATGTTGGTATTGGTGGTGATCGTGCTAACGATAATATGATGACATGTGACAGCGACGTTAGATTTAATAAGCATTACAGTACCGATCAAAAACTTATTTTTAGTAAGCGAAACCGGTTTGATCGAAACTGTAATTTCAGAGGAAACGATTTACTCTTCCCAAAAACTACATGTATGCATACTTTTGGCTGGTACTACATGTTCAAGAAAATAGAACTCGTGTTAATAAACGAGCATCAAGAACAAGACACCTAATTAAACGGATTTCAATATCTTGCCAGAACTGGCTGACTGCAATTACAACTTGTGATTGTCTTTCGTGTACGTTACGTGCACTTTTGAAGCCATCTGGTTGTCGCAAATAGTGTCCGGTGTGCATAATAGTGTTGAAATTTGTTTCTTATATTCGAACTACCGAAAAAGAATTTTCTTTATCAATTTCCGTAGAAAATGTTAGGTTACGAACAAACAGAACCATTCAATCAATTACGTTCGACGTCAATTTGTTATTTCCAGCAATCATACAGAAACGGTTTCAAAGGAAGCTCATACCCGAGCAAAGTAAGATATCATAATATCAAATTACATGTATGTTTTTTAAATCATGTTGATAACCTATTTTGATATTATTTTTTAGTTTAGGTGGAATTCATAATTTGATATTATTTTGATATTTCTAAAAAAAAAATGTAAACAAAATTTGATATTTCTAGGTTACTTTTTCGGATATACGTATCAGCTTTTGTAAACAATGCATTTGATCGTCGATTTGGCGTAACTGGTAGCTCACCCACGCATGTTAACACTACAATCAGATATTAGAAATTTTCCCCTACCTGTTTTTAGTAATTGCGGTCTATTTTGGTGCAAAATGCTTAATATTTAAAATTTCAAAATTGGTTGGCAAAACTACATTTTAAGATGATGATGATGATTATTATGATGATAGTGGTCTACACTCATTGTAGCACGGAAACTAGTCCGATAGCTGTGGGCTCTCCTCACTGTTGAACTTGATCAAGTCTAATAACCTCTGATTGACATCAGCAAATCGAAGGGCCAAAAACGAATGGATGGATTGATAGGCAATTCGCTTATTCATCTCCTTGGGACAATTAAGAATCTCCTTCCAACAACTTGATCAATCAATTGGTCAGAAAACGAGCCATCCAACAGGAAGATGCCCCAATGGATGGGATGAAGAGCCCGCCCTCTATCCACGAAATGTTAGCAACAGGAGTTGACATTTTCACTTTCCCCATCCAAATCACTTCAATTGGGTTCCCTGGTGGTTCCTCCCCTTCCCAGCATTTATTGGTTCATGTAGTTTTAAATTTATATTGTTATATGCAAATGCTATAATTTTGGGAAATTATATACGGTGACTTACCTTTGATGATGTATACTAACCTATGGTGATGCCCTAATGGATGCCTGCCGCCGTTGATTGCTTCCTTTGGAATCTCTTGTACTTTTTCTCTACCGCTTGGTATTTCATTCCATGCTTCCCCGGCAAGTTCCTTCCGTAGAATTCAACTGACTTGAACGCGAATTGAACGTGTAAACCATTCCATTCAACTGACTTGATCAGCTCACTTGAATTGAAAAGAGTTAAACCAGGCTCAACTTTTCAAGCCAATTGAATTCAACTGAGTTGATCATTTGACTTACCTAGTCTAAACCCAGCTTAACGTTCGTCGAAGAGAGGCGCTCTCGCTCGTCGCTCACTCTATTCGCTACCGATGGGTGCTTCCACTTCGACTTTCACTTCTTTCCCTGACTGACGCCTTTTTCTTCCGAAATCCATCGATTTTCATTTGGAAATCAAATCCGAATCCAGCACAATGTTTCTCAGCTTCCATTATTTCCGTTTCTTGCTACTCCTGATTCACTTCGCTACTGATAAACGGTCTTCAAACACTTCACCACTGCACCGAAAAAAAAACTCTTTCGGAATCGGAACACTACACAGAGCAGCAACAGTAAAATCAACCATTTCGCTTGACGCTCACCACTCGAATGGCAAAAATTACATTTTAAGAAACACACAAATATACTTAAACTGGGTTTAGACTAGAAATACTCAGAGGAAGAGATAGGCGGAGAAAACAAAATACAATTCGGCAGCAAGGATTTGTAACGAAATTATTTTGCAACCCTTGCTAGAAGCCAGCGTTTCACATGACTTTTGTTTTTGATTCGATTTAAGTGCAAAATAATTACTGATTACATCGCAATATTTTGCACATTTCTTGGTGCCATTAATTAACCAACTAAGAACAATTAATAAATAGAGTTAGAATATTGTTCTTGATTCCAAAAACTAGTTGAATTTGAAAAGCACAAGAAACATAAAGGTGATTGAATTTCTGTTCGATTGCAATACTCTTAAATTTAATCTAATAATAATAAAAAATCCTCGGACAAAATCTAATGGGAATGTTCGATTGGCTCAGACTTTGGCAGTTCATTTGGCTCCAAACATTCTCTCCGCCTATCTCTCCCTGTGAGTATTTCTAGTTTAGGCAGGGCAAGTCAATTGATCAAGTCAGTTGAATTCAAAAACAACAAAACAATGTTTGCCGTAGTTAGTGAATAACTTTGAGAGCTTGCGACAGGTGTGTTGCAGGGATAGATTAAAGGGTTTTTCGTCTCTTTCAGTCTTAGTGCAGCAAAAACGTTATATTGCTTCAACTCTCCGACATTTCGGTGATATATTTCACCTTTTTCAAGGATTTAGAGGCTGCGTTTTTTTGTTAAGTGTATGCGTGGTTTTACATAAATCCGTCTTTGATTAATAATGGCGTCCATCTACGGTAAGCGCGTATCCACAACTTTGTGTTTCCCTGTTTCGTTAGGTTATTTTTTAGCTTAGTTTTAAAACACTACCTAAGCAACTATGCTTTTTTTGATAAAGTTTTACGGCCGGATTGAAAACGCGTGTGGCAATTGTGCTGCTTCTCACTTTCCACAAAGTGAGAAGCAGCACAATTGCCACACGCGTTTCCAATCCGACCGTTAAACTTTATCCCAAAAAGCACAGTTGCTTACGTAGTATTTTTAAAACTTTCGGTTGATTTCAAATCAGAGGCGTCGGAGTCGATCCATTTGCATCCGACCCCACAGCTCTGCTCACAACCGACAATCAAAAGTCGAATCAATATGCTAAAATGTACGATTTGCCGATGGGAGACAGGCTTGCTGAAACTTCTCAAACTCACTGGAGGTTTTAAAATACTCTTGTGCTGCGAGTTTAGCCAGCCCTCACCTCGAGTGAGTGGCGGCAGTAATATGGAAGAAGTAGACAAAAACACCTCGAGAGAGAGGCAGAGTGAACTTCAGCGAGAGGATGATTTGACGTGAAGTGTGCTTTTCGCGACTCCGGATGACTTTTTTGTTCGACGCAAGAAGCTCAGAGTTCACCCAGAGTTAGAGTAAGAACGCGCGGGAGGCAAGTGTGATACTAAAAGAATCGGATCTATGCAATATCGATGAGCATCCTCTCTTAAAATTGTGAAATATTTCTCTAACATTATTTCCGTACGGCAAGTATGACTGTATGAAAACGAGAGTCAATGATGGCTTCACAGCGTCGTCGATATGACTGACTTGCTACCAAATTGCAGCCATTCTGTAAATCGAAAGATAACTTCGGGTATTCGGTCAAAAATACACTCTGTTAACATGTAAACCTCGTCCCAATCGTAAAGAAGAAGCTATATACGACCATATTTTGTTCGTGGTTATAGAAACCATCAACAACAAGACATTCTTTGAAAAGACCTCAACCATGTGTACAAAAGCATGGTCTCTTCATGATGCGCCACAGAATAGTTGCTGGTTTGGCACAATGGGGCTGTGCAGGACGAAAAGCTGACATGGAACGTGATGCTGTATCTCCTATATTATATGTAACACAAACAGCATACATACCTACATACATTTGCTCTCAGAAAAACGAAATCCAAATCGACAGCGAAATCCTAAACGATTGGATGCGGGCAAGGATGCGACGACGAAGGAAAAGCAATCATTCGAATTGACTTGATTTATACTGCATTGTAGTAGCTCGCGGCCGTACGTGGAAAATTTGCTCAGCGACATCATTTTAAAAGGCTTTTACCAGATGATTGTACCCGCATGTTTCGATAACCTTGGACGACATCTTCTTACTGAAGGTCAGATTCTTGCCATTATCATTCATCCTTTTTTTCACTTGGAATGGTTGGGATTCGATTTATGTACTTCTGATAAATCTGCTGCGTAGGAGAAAATTTATCTTAATTTGATTTATCAAAAACGATACAACCAACCGCAGCAGTATGGCTTTGCATGGGCGTGTATAGTATCAGAATCAATCGGAAACGAGTTGTCATAGTCACAAATCTCCATACGCCTCCGATTGCTTCCGCTGTGGCTGAGAGATACCTTTTCCACGGTAGATTGAAAATTTGTCTTCATCAAAGGGGATTATCGTTTGATGTGGTTCCACTTGCTCCCCATACTACTTATAGCATACTCTGCCATCAATCAGGGCGGGGGCAACATTGTTGCACTTTGCCATATTTCAAAGTGTCGGATACTGATTTCCATATTTTCCTTCCTTTTTCAGGTCGAGCAACGCGATGTTCCTGGCATCGATTGTGCACATCTGGCGATGGACACCGAGGAAGGTGTCGAAGTTGTCTGGAACGAAGTACAGTTTTCCGAGAGGAAGAATTTCAAATCTCAAGAAGAAAAAATACAACTAGTATTCGAAAACCTAACACAGTTAGAGCATCCAAATATAGTCAAATTTCATCGTTATTGGACGGATACGCATAACGATAAGCCTAGGGTAAGGATATCTGGCCAACAACCGACCCTAGCCAACGGAAGCTTATTCGATTTTCCCCCTTTTCCAGGTAATATTTATAACAGAATATATGTCCTCTGGTTCCCTGAAGCAGTTTCTTAAGCGTACCAAGAAAAACGTTAAGAAACTACCACTGCAAGCATGGAAGCGGTGGTGTACTCAAATTTTATCTGCACTTAGGTGAGCCACCGTTGTTTAATAAAATAGCAAATTTCCAACCACTAGACTCCACTACTCTCGTTGCAGTTATTTGCATTCCTGTTCGCCGCCAGTAATTCACGGCAACTTAACCTGTGATACAATATTTATTCAACATAATGGTCTAGTTAAAATTGGTAGTGTAGCTCCAGATGCCATTCATCATCATGTAAAAACATGTAGGGAAAATATGAAAAATATGCATTTTTTAGCACCAGAGTATGGATGTAAGTATAAAAAAAATTTGCGCATATGGGGGCGGGAGGCGAGAAATCCAATTTGTCATTCTTTTTTTACTTTCTTGCAGCAGCCGCAACGACGACCGCCATCGATATCTTCTCGTTTGGCATTTGTGCGCTGGAGATGGCTGCACTGGAAATCCAAGGGAACGGAGATTCGGGTACGCTAGTCACGGAAGAGCAAATCAAACGCACTGTCGAGAGTCTTGAGGATGCCCAGCAGAAAGACTTCATCATCAAGTGCCTCAGTCATGACCCTGCCAAAAGGCCTACCGCTAGAGAATTACTATTTCACCCGCTGCTGTTCGAGGTGCACCCGCTCAAACTGCTCGCCGCGCACTCTCTGGTGAATACCTCATGTAAGTCGATCCATGCAATACAGTGAATGTATATCTATCAAACAATCTCGCAGCAGTCTGGATATTTCCTATATGCTGCACACGGATGGAATGGGATTCTGGTTTCGTCCTCCTACATTTTCAACATATCAGTTACAGATTTGGAAATAGTTCTATTTTCCGTGTATTATCTGAAAATCCCATCACAATTATAGCAATTTCGACATGCAATCCGGAAGCCCGGTGTTTGGTGACCTTTGCTATTGCTGTGAAAACTATAAAAGTTTTCCAGTTGAATGCTTCTGGAAGAATTAAAACCGGACAATATTTGCCAAAGTTCCGATTCTCCACAATTTTGCCCAAAATTTGTCTATCCTAGATATTCTGTCTGTCAACTATATGATTAATATTACCTTTACATTGACAGTGACCTACTGTCACATTTGAAATTGTTCTAACACTATCAAAATTTTAAGTTATTGTTAAAACCTGATTTTGGGTATGTGACCGCATACTATCATGAGTAGGGTAGAGCGCTACTTCGTCGTAATCGCCTATTTCCGTTCTATCGATCAGAAAAGATCAATAATATCAATGATTTAACCGTGCACAAATCAATAATAGGTTTGTTCAGATGCGTTAGTTCATTAGCTACAATATAAATCCTGTTAGAGCGCATTGTATGAATATTTACGCTCATTGTTCTCAAAACAAAAGAAGCGCTCATAGCGAATCCCCTTTTTCTACGTTTATCCGTAGGACGAAGAAAATCTAATGGCGTTTCAATGCGTTAGGACGGAATTGAAACTCGTAGAACGAATTTAGAATCAAGAAGCAGTGTTAGATTTTAGACAATATCTCAACAATTTGTGACTTTTAATCAAATCCAACGGTACGTATGGAAAGGTGAATAAATTTGTAAGTCATCTTTGACAGAAATATTCCATTTTTTGTTTAAACTCGTTCAAAAAAGAGAGGTAAAGCGCGGGTTGTGCTTAGTAGGACGGAAATTAGATCATTAGACCCTAACTCAATAATGTTTCAACCGATTTTTATATTATGTTTATGTGTTTTTGGAAAGCGGAGAGGTAGAGCTTTCCAAATATACACATTTATGGCGATTTTACTGAAATTCGTTAAGTTTTTTTAATTAAATAAAAGGAATTTACCCTTCCAGCATCACGCTGGTGCACTGAGTGCACGCGTAAAAACCACATCATTAAAACATGATTTCTATCAACAATTTCCTTTGCTATTTTTGAAATGTTTATACATCACTAAAAAGCGGAAGTATTGGAGGCGACCCAGCCTCAGACTGAAAGCCTCATTAATAAAGATAAATCAATCAATCAATTAAAAAGCGGAAGAGTTGACGTTGAAATACAATTAAAAGCCGAATTGATTAGAGGGAAATTTTCTTTTTATTCCGCTTGAAAAGTGTCGCTTATTTTTCGGTGAGTTGACGCAACTGCTCTTGGGTTTTATAATTAAACGGATGCGTCAATGCACAACAGGGTACGTCCCTGAAAACGATGCTCGATTTCTTCTTGTGCTATATGGTGGACCTTTTCTTGGGGATCCCCAGCTTGAATAGACTTTTTTACGTCCCAGACGATCGAGGTGCTAGTGCATGCCATTCGATGTCTGTGTTTCTATGGGTCTACCCCGTTTGGCATAATGCATGCCGTTTGCATTAAACCGTTTGGCATAACAGCGGACTGTCACAACCTTTTTTTATGAACCAATAATTATTTTGAAAATCCGTAACTTTACGACATTTTAAATATATGCTGCACGGCACTTGGGATCAATTCAATTGTATTATAAACTGATTTTTATCAGTTTATTTCCCAAAATGACATTGGCAAATTTTGCATTGGTTTCTTTGGTGAAAGGCTCTGCTGTTTGTTGTACTACTGGGAGATCAGAAACATCGCTAGTTTTCTCCAGAAGACGAATCGTTGTTCCTGCTTCCGACTGTTGGAGCACGCAACGGTGCTACGTCAGTCTCGATCATGTTAGCGATCGTGGGACTGATAACGAACGTCCCGGATGCGAGTATGACCATCCGGTTATAGATTGGAGAAAGTATTTTAAGAACCATGCTGACTAATCCCATTTCGTAAAGAAGGCGCGCCTCAGAATTTTGTTAATTTTTGTTAATCCTGGACCTTGAATTTCTGTGAACGGAATCTTGAAAAATGTACAATATTTGAAATTACTGAATTATTTCTTTGGAACTTATCTTATTACATCTTTGCAAATTTCTCGTGGATTTCCATACAATCATTCAACAATCAAAATGTCTTCAGAATTAATTTTTAATGACCGGTATTCTCTAGAAATTTTCTAAATTAGAGTCTTAGAATTTTATGCAGAACACTTAAGGAATTCCCTTCAGTATTCTCTTGAATACATTTGTCTTCGTATTCTCAATAATTCAAAAACATGGCTTAATTTCCCTCTACAGGGTGCGTGACGAATTTTTGCAGTAAATTTCAAATAGTAATTTCTCATGCTTGCGGATCATGATTTAGATATATTTGGCAGCACTGAATTGATCATACTGTTAGGTGTAAGATGTAAACAAACAGTGTTGAGTAAACGTAAAGATGTCGAAACAAAAGAGCAATCGGTCAGCCGCTGTCGCTTTGTTGCGCGCCGGAGTAAGCGTAATAGAAATAATTCGGTGGATAAATGTGTCTGAAAGAACAGTGTATAATATAAAAAAGGCCTGGGAAAGTGATAATACGGAGAACCTGCTCATACTGCTAATAAAACACAGAAATGGCTTGCGGAAAATATTTCGGAATTTTGGGAGAAAGAAATTTGGCCCCCAAGCAGTCCCGATATCAATCCGTTGGATTATTTTGTACGGGGCATCGTCAAACGGAATACCAATAGAACCCCTAACACCACACTTAAGTCCCTAAAAGCTAAAATCAAGGTAGTGATTTCATCTATGGATTAAAACATTGTCAAACGTGCATATGACAGTTTCCGGAAGCATCTAGCTACAGTCGTCGAAAGGGAAGGCGATTTTTTTGAATAAAATTAGTTACAACATCCATATTTTGCGAAAGAAAATAAATCACATAACATTCATTGCTAGAATAGCTAACTGGTGTAATTTTTCTCAAATATGTAATTTACTGCAAAAATTCGTCACGCACCCTGTATATATTTTTTAATAATTCGCTTAGAATATACCTTGGAAGTCTTTTTGTATGCCATTTAGAATTTAGAATAGTATTATACCAAAATTTCGATGCATATCACCTTAGAATTCCATGAGAAATATTCTCAGATTTTATTTGAAAGTCTTCTAAAAATTCCCTATAGAGGATCTCTTGGAGTTTTCTTGGAATCTCTCATTTGAATTCCCTTGGAAATTTCATCCGAATCTCTTGGAAGACTACTCAGAGTTTGTTTAGAGATATGCTTAAAATTTCCTGCCAATCCCTCCCGGAAGATCCTTGAAATTTACTAATTTTTTTATGAATTCTCTTAAAACTATCTTAATATAGTTTGAAATTCTGCAAAAAATTAAGATTCCCTTGGAACTATTATCGATATTTCCTAGCAGCTCTCCACAGAATGTCTCTATGATTAGTTAATTTATCGACATTAAAGTTAAAGAGATTTTCAGCCATACAAAATAAAGTGCCCATCTCATCATGTTTTGAATTCCTCTCATTTAAATTTGGTTCAAATTAAAGTAAACACAATGTAGTCTTTTTTGATATCTTATTTTTTATATTCTTTTAAAATTTCACTTATGGAATACAAAAAAAAAAAGTTTACCTAAAGAAAAAAAAATCAATTTGTATTGAAAAAAAAACCAGTGAAATTTTGGCTCCAGAAAAGATAAATTAAAGCTTATTAAAAGCATTTTAATAATTAATGTGTTCTCCTTTGGGCTTCAGAACCTGATACTCCACCAGGTTATTTAGGTGCTGTGGATCTAGCTCTTCCAAGGCGCGCTTCAGGACTTCAAAATATTTATGTTTATTGGTAACACTAGTTTTGTCAAGCCTGGCATCGAGCATCGCCCACAAAATCTCGATGGGGTTGAGATCCGGGTTTTATGGAGGCCATTCCAGCGGTTTGATCCGACAAGACCGGAAGAAAGACTTGGTCTTCTTGGTAGTATGCTACGGGTCGTTGTCCTGCTGAAATACGAACTTCTTTTCAAGACCCGTCTGGATCAGTGAAACCTCCAGATTTTCCCGCAGGATGTTGATGTAGGAATCTGCCGTCATTATCCCGTCGATTTTCACGAGGCTTCCCACTCCACCCCATGAAAAACACCCCCTAACCATCACATTTCCTCTTCCATGTTTCACCGTGCCCTTAGATGTGGCTCTCCTGAAGCTCCTCACTCGATCTGCACACAGGCTTGCTGAAACTCTTCAAATTTTTTAAAATACTCAAAGGTTTTAAAATACTCTTGTCCTGCGAGTTTAGCCAGCCCTCACCTCGATAGAGTGGCGGCAGGAATATGGAAGAAATAAACAAAAACTCCTCGAGAGAGAGGGAGAGTGAACTTCAGCGAGAGGATGATTTGACGTGAGGTGCGCTTTTCGAGACTCCGGATGACTTTCTTTGTTCGACGCAAGAACCTCAGAGTTCACCCAAAATTAGATTAAGAGCATGTGATAGAAAACATGAACATGAATGGCAGCAAGCCTCACTCTCATTTTATCCCCCTTCGCTCACAAAGAAGCTCAGTGGAATGATTTGGCATTAGGCATTCTACTCCTCAGAAAAATGCGACACTCAACTCAGTTCAAACTCGCGATCAAGGCTCCATCAAGCATGTTAGCACCACACTTGAACCCGCCGCTTTCGGTTAAACAGCTCGAATTTTGATTCGTCCGTCCAGAGAACCGTTTTCCAGAACTCTAGGGGCTTATCAGCATGCATAAGCCGTTTAGTTTTGTTTGCCTTGCTTATAAATGGGCGCTTCCGGACAACTCAAGACCAACAATTGAAATGGCCTTAACTCCATTTTGTAAACAAACCTTGTAAGGCCATTTTCTCGCGAACCGAAACCTTCATTCGCAGACCTAAACCACAATCGGGTAGATGAGAATTTCCCCTACCTGTTCATTATGTTGGTTTGCCTTTGCGGACTTTGGTTCGCGAGAAAATGGCTTTACAAGGTTTGTTTAAAAAATGAGACGAGACGGCGACGAGTAGTTCGACCGGAAACTGATAGCTGAAGTGTTTCCTGGATCTCTCGGACACTTACCTTCGGGTTCTTCTTGATTTCGCGTGTCCGTTCTCGCATCCATTTTGCGCTTCCTGTCTCTGCCAGGGCGATCCACCACTGATTCGCTGCCTAGCTGATACTGTACTTCCTAGCGACAGCCCGGTGCGATTCACCGTTTTACACATCACGAACCACCAATTTTCGGATACACGAGGGAATTGCTTTCAAAATCACTGCGTTCTCCATTTTTACAACTGAACCAGGTCGAGTCGTTTGCTTCAAAACATGTCAAAATATTAAAACATAAACAATCGAGGGGTTTTCCGAAGGAAACTTATCGAAAACATTTCGATTTTAGAATTTGGCATTTTTGTTTTTCAATACAATTTGATTTTTTTTTTTTCTCTAAGTAAAACTCTTTTTTTCAGTATTTCGTAAGTGAAACTTTAAATGAATATAGAAAATTATATATAAAAAAAGACTACAGTGTGTTTACCACTCGGGGCCTCCCTTAGTTCAGTCGGTAAAGGCGCAGCTACAAAGCAAGACCATGCTGAAGGTGGCTGGGTTCGATTCCCGGTCCGGTCTAGGAATTTTTCGGGTTGGAAAATTTCTCGACTTCCCTGGGCATAGAATTACACAATTACACAATTATACCAATGCAAAAATGGTACAGGCATCGAAAGCTCTCAATTAATAACTGTGTAAGTGCATCTAGAACACTAAGTTGAGAGCACGCAATAAGCTAATATGCGATATGCAATAAGCTTGAAATTTGAAGAAGAAGAATAAGAAGAAGTGTTTAACAAATAAATGAGAGAAATTCAAAAAATGATTAGATGAGCACTTTATTGTGCCTATCAGTGTAGGTGATCATTAGGCGTTGTTCTAGGATTGTAGTCAGGTTTTAAGTTTCAGTTATAGGGTTACTCCACTTTGAATCCTCCTCCGAATTCCCTTATATGCTCCCTGAAATTCCTCTCGATTTACTTTCAAATCCCGCGAATTCAGACCTGGTTAGCCCTTTGAAGTTTATATGGGAATAACTATGGGAAAAGTAAACTTTTTGATCTCATCGTCCTAGCCTTTTTCCAAAATGAATTACGAATATTTATTTGAAAGCATACCAAAAGTGCTAACTTTTTTGAAATGGACACAATGGACACTTTAAAATTGACCAAAATTGTAGAACAATTAGAAATCAGTAATTTCTTATTTTATGAACTTAATAAATTGATTTAGATTTAGACCAAACATTAAACCTAGAAAATCATCTCGTACCGTTCAATCACCATATTCTGCGCAGTTCCTAATTCGCAATCATACATGTATTTTCGTTCGAATTTTGAGTTCAAAAATAATAACGGGAAATATTCGAAAGCGATTTGGTGCGCAGAATTAGGCGCTCACGGTATATTGATTCTGGAAAACTGTTTATTAACTTCTTATACCAACAGAAAACTACATTTCTCGTAAGAAGGATATACAGAGGATGTGAGAAACCCAAAATTACCCCAAGTTACATCTTGTTTGTGTGTAATCTATATGTGTAAGCGACGTCCTGTTCATCATCAACTGTACTTCCATTTCTTTGTTAAAATCTCCATCATCGGATTTTTTATATTGTATTATGCATTTGAAACTGAACTCCTCAAAAGTGCGGAAAAGCTTATAAAAGTGCGCTTTTACGTTATTTTGTCTTGGTGTCTTCTTCACACTTATTCCTTATGAATCACAGAAAAAGTGCGCCGAAGACACCCAAATAATTTAACGGGCCTTTATATGCGTTTCCGCACTTATGATCGCACTTATAATGTGCGCAATGCGTACACCCAGTTGATAACTGGAAATGCATTGGGGCTCTATTATAGCAAAATATGCTTTCAAATGCACCGTTCCATCCCTGCTGTCTACTGCATAAACATGGGAAATACACTGCGAGCACAAACATATTTATTCCATTCTACATTAATATTAATCTCGACTTGATTTTTTTCTCCCTCGCCCCTCTCTTTCCTTCTGTTATTGTTCACTTAAAAACTAATCGCATCTTACCGGTTGAATAACGTTGATTGGACATCGAACCGTGTAATACACTCGCTTTGCTGCTGCTGCTGACTACTTCCTACTGCCTTCCTGCCTACCTACTCGGTGATTCTCGTCCCGACTGTCGGTGACCGTGGATCGCTTGCTTATCGCCATCCTATCATCACCATCAACAACAATCGAAAAACAGCAAACTACGACGAGATGCTGCAAAAGCTGAACAAACCGGACATGGTATACGCCGAGGTGCGGCAAACCGAGTTCCACCTGGGCGATGTCACCGGCACGGAAAAGCTGGAAAAGTTTGTAGAGGATGTAAAGTGAGTAAAAGTTTTCCAATCCCTCCCACTACTGACCGACTGACCGGTTGATTGTGATTGTTCTTTCTCTTCTCGCAGGTATGGCATTTATCCGCTGACTGCCTTTTCGGCACAAAAACCACCCGCTTCCCGACCACGAGCAATATCGCCCGAGACTGCAGAATCGGTGAAATCCGCCACGCCAGAGCCGCTAGATATTGAAACTAGGAGAGTTGTGAATATGATATGTAGTGTTAAGCCGCGAGAGGAAAATTGTGAATTATTTGTAAGTACCAAGATACTTTCATTGTATGTTTGTTTTTCAGTGAACTAAACGCGCTTCTAGAGCCATTTTACTTTTCGAACTGCTCGGTCCTCGTCTTAAAACGTCCTGTAACAGAGGAATGGTATCATTTGAAATTCTTGACGAAGCTTTTCGGAATTATGAAATCATTAGGTGTTATAATTTATAATATATAATGATTACATCATTCAGAAAAACATTTTTGAGTGGAAGCAACCCTGCTTCTCATGATAAAGATCTGTTTATTAATATCAAAGAACAGCTCATGTCCAAAAGAAATGAAAATTTCAAATTATAATTTTTGTTACATTTATCTTTGAAATTTGTTGCATATATAGCTATGGAAAATCTCATCTGCTTCAATTGAGCTGTTGATTTTGGCGCTCAGATATTTTTTCAAAACATATGAAATACAGTTTATGTCCTAAAGAAGGAAGAATATCCCATAAATGATGATTTTCCTTCTATCGATTATGAGTAGCTCTTTCGATTATGCTACATTACCCCGAATCTCGTTTCCCCAAACGTCAGAACCCCGAACGCCATTACCCCGAAAACCCCATTATCCCGAATGTACCATTTCCCCGAATGTAATATCCCCGAAAAATACTTTCCTATAATAAGGAAATTGTCTCAAATTTATGTCAAAATTAACGCTCGTGTATGTCACTCTCAAAGCACCTAAATTTACATGAATTTTTCAAAGTGTGCACGTCCCATTTGCTTCCGTTTTTGTATACAGGAAACATATGTGCAAATTTCCAACTAGATGGACATTTACCACTCGAGACGGACATTCCAAACACATCACTACAAAACTAACGATTTTAAATTGGCTCACTAATTGACTAGCCTATTGGTCCCAAGCAAACGATTAACGTACCCCATTCTAGTCGAAATTCTAGGACTACACAATGTTTGTTTTGATCCGCTATGAAAATTTGACAGATAAAATGAGGGGTTAGTTGATTTTCCTATGTATCGAGGGGTGAATCGATTAGCTTGGGACCGAAGAGAGTACCAGAGCTGAGCCAAAAAGTTGAGCACGTTTCTTCGGGACCTTCTAGTCTTAGAGTTACCTCTATGATACAACGGTATCAGTAAGCTGGCGATATGTTTCTTCAGAAAAACTGAAGGAACACCGTCCGGTCATGGGTTGAAGGACGACTTGAGTTTTAGCAACAATCAATACGAAACTAAAGATTTTAAATTGGCTCTCTACTTGACTAGCCTATTGGTCCCAAGCAAATCGATTCTAGTCGAAATTCTAGTACTAAACTATATTTGTTTTGATTCGCTATGAAAATTTGACATATAAAATGAGGGGTTCGTGGGTTTTCGTATATTTCGAGGGGTGCATCGATTCGCTTGGGACCGAAGATAGTACCAGAGCTGAACCAAAATGTTGAGCTTGTTTCTTCGGGACCTTCTGGTCTTAGAGTTACCTCTATGGTTTTAGTGCGGCACTCGAAATCATCTCGACGATGATATCAATTGCACCCATAGCTTGACCGGAGAGTGGTAAAGGTTGTTACGATCAAAATTTGGTCAAACAAGAATGATATATTTAAAATATCAAATTATTTTTCTTTTAATTTAAAATACAGAAAAATATAGAGCTAACCTTCCGGTTGACCGAATCCGAATTGCCGGGGCTTTCTTTTCTTTTTACTCCTGCCATCAGATTCTGTACAGCCACCTCGTCCACTTTGTTCGTCGCAGAACGTCAGTTTGCCTTAAACTGCTTCCCAACTAACAATTCTGCAATAATTTGGCATCCACTCGGATTTATGATGGTTTTATAATGGCAATGAACAATCCATTTAGTTTAAATACATCATTTCAAAATGTAAAACATTCATGCTTAGTAATTCACCTTTTTGCTGTTTTAAAAATCTTTTATAGTCTGGCGAGCAAGTCAAAAACTGTCTTGTTTTAAAATTAAATTTAAATCAGCTCTCAATCCCACCATAAAACACTTCTATAAATCGCGATTTTTTATTAAGGTTTCGATAAAATACTCTATAAACGTGTTCTATCATTAATAGCAACCTCAAAGCCATTAGGTTTTAAATGAGAGCAAAAAGCATATATTGTTGCCTTTTAGCGAAGACATCATATCAAGAAGACTGGCAACTTTGCCAGAATCCAAGCGACAGATACAGTAGCGCCAACAATCAATACGAAACCAACGATTTTAAATTGGCTCAGCAAATCGACTAACGTACCCCATTCTAGTATAAATTCCAGTACTACACTATGTTTGTTTTGATTCGCTATGAAAGTTTGACAGATAAAATGAGGGGTTAGTGGATTTTCCTATGTTTCGAGGGGTGAATCGATTAGCTTGGGACCGAAGATAGTACCAGAGCTGAGCCAAAAAGTTGAGCTCGTTTCTTCGGGACCTTCTGGTCTTAGAGTTACCTCTATGGTAAAACTTTGACCTTCATTTTAAAGGCTATTAGGTACTAAAGCGTAGCCGGCGCCGGTGGTGTAGAGGTAAACGTGACTGCTTTCTCACCCCAATGGGCCTGGGTTCAATCCCAGCCGAGGTCGGTGGGATTTTTCTGAGGCATAAAAATCTCTGGTCACGTCTTCCTTCAGAAGGGAAGTAAAGCCGTTGGTCCCGGCCCATGTGTGGTTGTTGAATGGGTGCGATATCCTACGCAGGTGGTGGAAGCTGCCTTCCTGCACATTCGATTGCCGTCAATGGATGACAATCGATGCCCGTCGGTGATTGGCACTAGATTGCGGAACAGAGACCGACGTTAAATAAAGGAATGAAGAACTTATCCTGCTTTCAATGAAATCAATTTAATTACTGATTTTGAATTCATAATGTTTAACTGAATACGGGCCTGGCTTCTCACGCTAAAAGACTTAAGACTCAATTAAGATCAAATCTCACCCCGGGCAAGTCACGAATGACCTAAAATGTGTTAAACAAAACAATAATCGTTACTTCAACGACCGATGAACTTAAATGAAGTTTTAAACAAGACGTTAACAGCAGAAATTGAAGTTAAGTTGCATTTATTAAAAAAAATGACTGCATAATGGAAGCACAATATGATATCAGACTTAGGGGAAATGGCTCTAATGTTGGCCTATGGATCTAAAATTGGGCCCATCGCTGAAAATCTGCTATTTATCAATTGTATCATTGGGACGGTACTAATGGATATTTTTGGTTGCTATTGAAAATTTAATCGATTGCTGAATTTATGTATGGGCCCAAATTAGGGACACTTAGGCCGACATTACATACATTTCCCCTATGTCGCGAAAATTGAAATCAAAATGAGTTTTCATTATGATAGGAACTGAAAACTTTAATATCGATTTGCTTCCATTTTGTTAACCGACTTTGCTCGGGTTCCACTTCATGGCCTTTTTTGCGTAATGGCAGGATGCCAAATCCGGCCAAAACAGCACGGAACAATCGTGTTGCTTCAGCAACGGCAGCAGACGTTTTTCCAGACACTCGTTCCCGTAAATTTCCTGGTACAGATAGCCTGCCAAACCAGATAGTACTTCAACAGTTTCATATGCTTGAAAATACCTGTCACCTTTCCCCTTCCGGCCGTATAAAACTCCTGCCCAGGAAGCTGTTTGAAGTTTGCCTTGACGTAGGTTTCTTCGTCCATTACCACGCAATCGAACTTCGCCAGCATCGTCATGTAGAGCTTACGGGATCGTGTTTTGGCCGCCTTGTTTTGTTTATCGTCGCGATTTGGAGTCACTACCTTCTTATAAGGCACTCTTTGTGTCGTCGCTGCGGCGACATGATCGTTTAAAAGAAATGCGTCAAGTTTAAGTCGACCAAATTTTGATCGTAACACCCTTTACATTGCTTGCTGCTAAGGTAACGTGTTCGTCGGTCAATCTCTCATCAGAGAAAACGCTGGCAAACTTGTTAGAAAACAACCGGCAGACCTCCTGAGGGGTGGAAGCGACTTCGCCGTACACTACAATATCATTGACGATGGTACATATATGCCCGACTCTCTGTGCTGCTCATTTAAAAAGTCTGGTGAAGGTGTGCTTGAATTTGCTCTGCATCCCTCGTTGATAACGCAATTAGCAACGACTACTAACTCGCTTGAAGTCATAGTGAGCCTAAAGCTGGGTTTAGATAGGGCAAGTCAATTGATCAAGTCAGATGAATTCAACTGACTTGAACGCGAATTGAACGTGTAAACCATGCCATTCAACTGACTTGATCACTCACTTGAATTGAAAAAGTTGAACCAGGCTCAACTTTTCAAGCCAATTGAATTCAACTGAGTTGATCATTTGACTTGCCTAGTCTAAATCCCGCTTAACCTAGTGATGTTTCAGCGACAGCGTGCGATTTTTAGTGAATTTCTTCAATGCGGCTGTCTGGTCGATTTCAGCTTCCTCGATTCGTGAGGGGGGGGGAGTGAGCTAGCGTTGAAAATGTGTTTATTTTCAAAATGTTTAGGGGTGGCACTCTTGCTCCACCTGGCCCTAAATATCGTCAAATCATTCGTTTTTTTTCTTTTTTTTTTTTTTTTTCTTTATTAAAGAGACTTTTAGCCTTGGGCTGGTTCGTCTCCCAATCATTCGTAATAACTTATTTGAAAATTAACGCAGATCGTCTCAAATTTTCATCGATTAGGGGGAGGAGGTGCAGTGAACAGGCATAGTGAGCATCCCGCAGTTTGGCCCTGGATTTCTAGCTGCATGAAACAAATCAACTCTTAGTAGGTTCAATATCATTATGATATTGATCCTACTACCAACCAATTTGTTCCGAACGGCCGGAAGTTCAAGCTGGTGCACGGGATGCTCACTATGCCCCACCTGTTCACTACGCCCCTCTTACCGCTACTTGTTTTTGTACAATTTACAATTTTGCAGTATTCATGTGCATAAGTTGCAGGAACATGCATTCAAGTTATCTGTAGGAACCTAAATCACTTAAGTCGGTCTTTCCCTTTCCTATGCATTATCTCGACATCAATTTCATGAAAAATTACATGCTTAAACAATTTTCGCTATTCATATTTTTCAGATGACAATATTATTAAGGATGGAAGATAAGATGAACCGACAGTTAACATGTCCCATCTCGCCGGACGATTCTGCCGTCGCACTATCGCATGAACTAGTACATTTAGGATTTATTCATGAAGTAAGTATTGTAGCCGCTGGATAGGGGTTTCGATAGGACATTACTGATCATGCGGAATTTGTTATTCTTTTTTTCAGACGGATCGTGAAAAACTAGCTACAATGATAGAGGATACGCTTAGGAGTAAACAGCAGCAATTGCTAGGTGCGGCAGCGAAAATGCAATCGTCCGGAGAACGAATAGTGGCCACCGACGGCAGTAGTGGCATGTCCGGATCGGACACGAAGTCCATCGGTTCGGCATCCGCCAGCAATCATCTCCACCATCATGTTCCTGTAAATTCGGCCAGTTAGTAATCCTTCCATTACTCTACCACACCCTGATTTCCTCTCAGTCTCTCGCTCGTTTCGCAATATTGTTCTCTGGTTTGTCGTGTTGTCGTCGTTCTTTCTCACTGTCTCACTGTCGGGCGGTATATTTAATATAGTATCGTCTTGCGTGTTCTATTTTAAGTTTGTTTTTGGTTCCTGTTCCTGTTATGATTTTTTCAGTTGTATTCTAATCTGTTCCGCTCAACCCCAAACCAACTGCACCCGTCAAAATGCCACCCAACACCTCCCAACCACCACAACCACCAGCACACCAGCACCATCAACAACAACAACAAGAACAACAACGACAACAGCAGGGTGCCGACGACACGACGATCGACGGCACAAACAATCAAGTGATTGGGAACAATGCTAAAATGTATAAAAGTATATATGTTGACCATATAACTTCCTGTGAGAGGCAATGCTTTATAACTCGTTGTTGTTTTTGGTACTGAAGCGCGCTCCATGCATCGACCCACATGCTAGCTATGATTTTTATTTAAAATATGGAGAATAATTATTTATTTAGCTATCCCAAACAGTTAACATCCAGAGTAGTTTTGTGGAAATATAGAGGAAAAGTATATTTTTTTAATCAAAACTACGTTATTCGAGAAAACATACGAACGCAAAAATGTCATGTAGTTGTGCACAGTAACCATAATTGATGTATTGAAATTATCAGTATCAGTAACAAACTCATACGAAGCCGAGAAGAAGACGCAGTGCATGGAAGAAATATACACAAATATATTCATATACTTTTTTAAATTTGTCTACTTTTTCATTTTTGTTATCTTTGTTTTGCTCTGCTGTATGCACTTTTGGTTTTTGGTTTCAAAATTGTGTTGATTATATTAGAGGTGTTTTTTTTCTGTTGTGTTGTCTACCGAACATTATCACCCATATTTACAAGATATTCTGCTAGGTCGTAATCGGATTCATACGAGCAGACATAAATCACTGAATGACAACATTACCGCCATCTATTGATCACACGGTTAAGCATAGCTTAACACGTCAAACGCCTCAGATGGCACCACTGTCAATTAACCAAAATTTCAATAATTCATCACTAAATGAGTCTAATATAAATGGCAAGCAAAAGATATGTCTGTTAGTCTGCCGGAAGGCCCAATTTCCGTAAATAATTGATCCGATGACGTCCTGTTATAACAGCTTACCTTGAAAGAAAAATGGTATTTGTGTAGTTGTTTGAGCTTAAATTTTGGGATTGTGAACCGGCATTTATTTAAACATTTTGTTTATTTCTTCCACCCACCAGGTCTGGAACGTGGCTGGAAGGTAGCGGATATGGATCCGTTGCTGGTGGCAATGCCAGTCATCATGGAAACGTCCGGAATCAGTGTAAATAGTTTAGACGCAGCTCTGTTTGCCAGCTTAGATGACGCAGAGGAAGCTCGCGAGCAGCACGACGAGGAGCTGGAAGCTCTGGAAGCTGCCATTGCTTCTTGCGGTGAACCATTTCCGGAACCAACGCAAGTACCATTCGAGTTTGACGATGCTGGACACTCATCGGCGCATCGCTTCATCCCAACGTCCAGAACTTCCATCGTCCCGGAAGGCGGCGACCTTTGCTGTGGCGAAACGATCGAATCATACGAGGCTACCGAGTAAAATATCGGAAAAATATGCAACATCAACAAAAAATCGTCTTCAACGCACGTTAAGCATATTAATTTCTATTTTGTACATTGACAAAATGGGACAAAAGAATGATATAATATGAATTGCTATGTAATTACATAAAAAAAAAACAAACAACAACACCTAAGTGGAATAAACACCCAAATACGTACACACTTAATCATGTCATTGCAGCAAAAGTAATAGAAACAACCAACGGAAATTGAACTATGTCGCTTCAGATTTCGTTCTATGTAAACCTGAATTATGTGTTTTCTTTGAGGAACTTCGCAAAAAAAAACAATAGCTACTGCAAACAGAAAACTGTCAAACGTAGGGAATTTGAAATAACAAAAGTGAGCAAACACTTTCTTTCTAAACACTAATCAATCATAGTCAATCGTCTCAGTCGGATCAGCAAGCAAGCAAGTTTTTCTCTTGTATAATTAATGAAGTCTAATCAAAGTCATCATCAGTATAAGGAAAAGAAAATAGCAGCCGGTTTTTAACAAATAAAACTAACAGAAAAACAACCAACAGACAAAAGTGTTGAAACGAAACGAAAGGGGAAAGGGAAATCAACGGAAAGACTTTATTGCTAAATCATACAAAAAAAAAATGCAACAAACCGCTGCATTACCAGTTCTTTTAAAAAGGAGCATATGAATAACAAATTTAGAACAAGGGTAAAACAACAGGTCAATACCTATCAAGAAGAAGACTTGCGGGAAGCGTGTGTGTTCTGCGTATGGTGGTGAATCCAGCGCCAACAAGCGATGCGAAGCGCGCGTTATCTGAGTGGGGGAGAGGGGGGAGACTGTATGCGCGGTGTGATGGGACGGGATTTTGCGGTATGAAGTGAAGAACAGTTGTTTTGATTGGAATAGTCATTAAATTGTAAAAAAAACAACCAAGGAAAAGTCATGCTTTGTGAGCAACATAAAACGCGTGAATTTACTAAATGCAAATAAAGAAAGCAGCAAAAAGGCGAACTTCGTAGTGTGTGTATAATTTAAAACTTCTTTTTTTTACTAAGATGGGAACTGGAAAATTATTCATTTAGGGAAAATTAACTGTCTTAACGTCATCCGCCAGGGAAAGAGCTTAGTAATAAAACGAGAAAAATACGATTGATAAGTATCAGTGTTTTGCGCTGTGCTCCATTTTGCTGGTTTTGGATGGGAATGTCGTTTCATTCATAAGATTATATCACTTTCCTTTTGATGAGTTGAATCGATTCTATGACAACACCGAATGTTCGAGGCTAATATTTTGACATTACACACCGTGCAAACAAGTGGATAGTCACGTCACCACGACGAGACTTCCTAACTAGTGGCAGAGAGTTACTCGACTCGCAGAATAGAGGAATGATCTTTATTTTAAATGTTCATGTGAGTTGATGCTGGTACACGTCTCTGGCAGTTGTGTTTCCATTACCTCGAACGCCATACCCGCATGGCTGCTTCCTCGAATGAAATTCTGCTTTCTTTTAATTGTTGTTCGTTTAAAAAAACAATCGAGGCGATGGCGTTCAAAGAAGTGTTTGAGAGTCAACTCAATTTCACCACCATTGAACCTGTTGTGGAATGCTTAAATGTTTTGAGGTGCCGCATGACGCGTTTTAGTCCAAGTCGAATATTACCACTTCCCCTGAACATCTGAAACCTGAAACCTGCAATCATGTAACAATAATGTCATCGTTGTTTTTGCAATCATGTAACCTCAACGCTGGTCAAACGCTGTCCAGACTGGAGAGTTATAACATGTTATAACGATTGTCAAATAATTGCAACACAGAAACTACCATCAAGATAGCGCTATAACATGTTATAAATCTGTAGTCTGATAGTACGTTCAGACTACAGAGTTATAACATGTTATAGCGCTATCTTGATGGTGGTTTCTGTGTTGCAATTATTTGGCAACCGTTATAACATGTTATAACTGCTCAGTCTGGACAGCGCTTGAACGTACTATTCGACCCAAAGAAATAAGCTTTCAGGTCTATTCTGCGCGGCGCGAGGTGAGGTGACAGTGAAGTGACAATTGTCACCTCGGGTGAAGTGGTTCTCGATTTGATTTGCACGGAGATTATTCACCTCACGCGAGGTGACAATTGTCACTTCACTAGTGACAGCGAGTCACCCCACCTCTCACGCCGCGCAGAATGGGCCTATACTAGGTCCATCCCACTCTAATAGGGAATTTGTTTATTATCCACGTTGGAACCAGTTCCAACCCCGTTCGAACTTGAGCTTATTGTTAGTGCGAATCTCATCCCGAGCCAGATTACAAAAACAAACGTTTACACTGACATTTGACAGACATCAAGCCGACTCCATCTTGATACCCGAACCAGGTTGGAACTGTATCAAAAACAAATTCGCTATAAGCTTTGTATTTCTCGTTTTATACTTACTGATATCTAAGATACCTGAGCATACTTAAAAATACTAAAGAAATATTTAGCTATAGTTTGCTATCACCGTTGCAAGACAAATTTCATGAGTTTTGAATAGTTTTGTGTCGACGAGTGCGAATTAAATGGCTGAAGTTTAGGCGCTAAATTAATTGTAAATTTATATATAAGAATAATTCTTTTTAATCAAACTTTATGTTCAATAATGATATTAGACTGCAATTCTGAAGGAATATTTTTTAAATTATTGAAGTTTAAGAATTAGTACAAATATTTTCAGCTTTGAAGGCTGTTAGTTTTTTTTTAACTTAAATTCTTACCACAGAATTATATAATGGCAGAAGTGGCCCCCCGAAGTGCATCAGTGTTTGTATCACACATGGCTGGAGTAAATTAGATCATTCGGTTATCTCTATGGTACCAGCACAAACGAAGTGACAGCGACGGAGCGGCTCGAAAACTTTGGTGACGCACCTGCTATTGCAATTTTTCAGTGTACCACATGGCAGCACTAATAATGGATTGTACCACATGGCAGCACTAAATGTACTAGAATGTTTTGGTTCTATCATAGAGGTAACTCCCCTAATAAAAAATAACCATAAACGAATGATAACCCAAATCATTGAACTATTCCACAAATGGTTTGGATGATACCCAGAACACGTCGTTAAGCAAATTAACCATACAATTTTTATTAGGGTCTAAGACCACTGGGTCCCGAAGAAAATCATTATTATTTTTGGCTCACTCAGTACCAGAACAACGGTCCCAAGCAGTCCCAAGCTATTTCACTCACCCCTGCATGTTCTGCATGAATCCACACACCCCTGATGTTATCTGTCAAACTTTCATAGCGAATCAAAACAAACATAGTGTAGTAATAGAATTTCAACTAGAATAGGGTACGTTAATCGTTTGCTTGGGACCAATAGGCTACTAAAGTGGTGAGCCAATTTAAAATCGTTAGTTTCGTATTGATTGTTGATTGTACCACATGGCAGCACTAAATGTACTAGAATGTTTTGGTTCTATCTCTTTCACTCTACTCTAAACTGAAATGCATAAAAAAATGACAAAATGATACACTCTTTGCACACTGTCAAAGATCATATTGCACACAAAATCAACTATGTTCAAATCAAAACAAAAATACTAGCCCATCTGGTGGCTGATGGCACAAGCTTCTAAGAAAATTCTATAACAGCGAACCACATTATTTTAATTGATTTCTTCGCCAGTTAGTCGTCTGTCACTTCGTTTGTGCTTTTACCGTCACTAGTGTGTATGCAGCGAAGAATGACGATTGAGCACTCGAGAACACCCTATTATACACACCCTGGACAACACATCGAAAGAGAACACTGTCAAAAGTGGAAAAACTCACGAAGTGTAAATATTTTCCGTATTTTCTTTTCATCCGTCTTCGTCTTGTCCTTTCCCATTCATTCACCCGTCAGTCAGTCAGTCAGAACTTGCAAACTCGGTGCAGAGGCAGATGGTTTCGTAACTATCTCACCGTCGCGGTCGCCTTCCCGATCAGAGTATATAGTGCATAACAAACATAAAAGCAAGGAGAAAAAACGCAGAACGGATTCGATTCGTCTTCGTCGAGCGAAATCTCGGCGGGGGAGTTGTTGGATGCCACGAAGTTCCCGGTGCTCGCGGATTGGGAGGAAAAGAACGATCGGATTTTCACGTATTTGTGTGTGCCGTAGAACAGTGATTTGCCATCCGGTGGTGAAAGGTGCTCTTCGAGAGCAGAGTAGATTGCGGTGTGATTGTACCGTTCCGGACTGTGTAGCAGAGTAAACGAAAAAAGAGTGTTTTCTGGGTGCACGGGAAGGAAGGTGAAGTGAAATTTTATGTTGATTTTATGCTGTGGGATCGCTTTTATGCTGTTGACCCCCACCGGATAGAAGCCAAGTAAAAGTCGTGGGAGCCTGGTGGAGTAAATTGTTTTTGATACGCGAAGGGAAGAAAGATCCCCGAACTAAATTTTGTTTCGAGGGGAAGGTGGCAAGGTGAAGCTATTTTGACGATCGATTGTGTAAGTTTTTCTTTTCTGTGTTTCTCTCGAAGGCTTATCTTATCAGGAGGAAGGTTTATGTTTTGATTTTATATCAGGCGCTTCCTAGATGTGAGTTGAGATTCGTTCCTGCATAGGACAAACTGCACGATAATGGTGGCATGGTCTTCGTCTCATAGACGACACGTCCGCATTCTGCTCGTGGGGGATCAGGGCGTCGGAAAGACGTCACTGATTCTTTCGCTAGTCAGTGAAGAGTTTCCGGAAGATGTTCCCACGAAGGCAGAAGAGATTACCATTCCGGCGGATGTCACGCCGGAACAGGTACCAACAAATATCGTAGATTATTCGGGTAAATTGCGGATTCAATGTTGGATTATTTAATGAATTAATTAAAATCTTTGATTAGCTACCGAGCAACCTGATGAAACCCTAGCGGAAGAAATCCAGAAAGCACACGTTGTTTGCGTTGTCTATTCGGTTGAGTGTGATGAATCGTTGGATCGGATCACCACCCATTGGTTACCGGTGATTCGGGAGTGCTCCGGCGAGCAGCGAAAGCCAGTGGTCCTCGTTGGTAATAAAATTGATCTCATCGATTACTCAACGATAGACGTAAGTGTGAATTAGTATGACTAACAACGCAAACGAAATGCAATTGTGTTTTTTGTTTTACGATTCAGCATGTTTTATCAATCATGGAGGACTTTCCAGAAGTTGAGAGCTGCGTAGAATGTTCGGCGAAAACACTGCACAATATCTCGGAAATGTTTTACTACGCGCAAAAAGCAGTTCTTCATCCAACAGCTCCTTTGTATATCATGGAGGAACAGGATGTAAGCTATAAAAAAAAATATAGGTACATATTTAAACAAGAAAATTTAATTTCAGTTAACCGAGACCTGCAAGAAAGCCCTGGTTCGAATATTCAAAGTATGTGACATCGACGGGGATGGTTTGCTAAACGATTATGAGCTGAACCACTTCCAGCGTCGCTGTTTCAACGCACCACTGCAGCCACAGGTCCTAGACGAGGTGAAGGCCGTTTTAATGAAAAACACACCGGATGGCATCCGGAATGATTCGGTTACGCTAAAGGGCTTCCTCTTTCTGCACTGCCTGTTCATCCAACGGGGAAGGAATGAAACAACATGGGCCGTGTTGCGTCGGTTTGGTTATAATGAAAATTTAGAAATGAGCCCGGAATATCTTCACCCAACGATCAAAATTCCTCCCGGTAGCAGTACCGAATTATCCCACCGTGGTCAACAGTTTCTAATTTCGCTGTTTGAGCGAAGTGACAGGGACGGAGATAATGCTCTCTCTCCGGAGGAGTTCCGAGTCGTTTTCAGTGCTTGCCCTTGTCCACCTTTCTCGACCGATATCAAGCGGACGGTTCCGACAAACGAATCCGGTTGGCCAACGCTACACGGTTGGATGTGTCGCTGGACGTTGATGACGCTTGTTGACCTGAACAAAACCCTAGAATACCTGGCTTATTTAGGATTCAGCGTACACGAGAACGAATCCCAGCTGGCAGCGATACACATCACACGGGAGCGAAGGATCGATCTGGCCAAGAAGCAAAACAGTCGATCCGTCTACATGTGTCACGTGATTGGTCCAAAGGGATCCGGAAAGACAGCATTCTGCAGGGCTTTCCTATCAGAGGACATGCGGGTAAGAGTATCGAGCCATTTGAATAATCCATTTCGATTAAAACAACAAAAAAACCATTCCAGAAACTAACGGATAAGGATATACGTGGTACCAACCAGTACGCAATCAACACCGTTCAGGTGTACGGTCAGGAAAAGTACCTCGTTCTGCGGGACATTGACGTGCGCCAGGTTCTGGACCCGTTACAACCGAGCGAAGTCAACTGCGACGTGGCTTGCCTGGTGTACGACATCAACAACCCAAAGTCGTTCGAGTATATCGCTCGGATATACATCAAATACTTTGCCGAGAGTAAGATTCCGGTCCTGATTGTCGGTGCCAAGGCGGATATGGAGGAAATCCGGCAGGAGTATTTGCTTCAATCGCCGGACTTTTGCCACAAGTACAAACTGCTTCCGCCGCAGTACTTCAGCTTCAAGCACAACAAGAAGGACATCTACACGAAGCTGGCGACGATGGCCGCATTTCCGTGAGTACATTTACTTTTTACATTATGAGGCAGGTTTTTGTTTCACAATTTGAAGTAGAGTTGTAGTTTTGAAAATGGCTGCAGGCTTACATGGAAAGAGCAAAAATTGCAAACTTACGTTCTAATTTATGTTGACGGAGATCTTGTTGGGGTTATTGTTCGATTAGTGTTTGATTGATTCGAGTTTTGATATAAGCTGGATTTGTTTAATGGCTGCAGGTTTTTCATTTTGTTCACAACTGGCACGGTAATGGAGTTTTCGTGTATGTTTAAGTTTAACCCACATAATGCAACACAGTTGGAAAGAGTCATACGCAGCATACGCACATTGACAAAATATGGGGTAAGATGCGGGAAAAACTGAGTAAGGGAAATTATGGGACAAGAGTTAGGTAGAGGACCTCAGATAGCCTATTCTGTAAAGGCCAACGGTATTACTTGGCCGGAGGTAACGGGGTCGATGCCCAATCCGGTCGAGGAAATCTTCAGGGTTGGAAATGTTCTCGACTTCCCTGGGCATAGAGTATCATTGTGCTTGCCACACAATATTCAAATGCATACATTGGTTGGCATAGAAAGCTCTCAATTAATAACTGTGGAAGTACATCTAGAACACTAACGCTAAGGAGTTACCTCTTCTGCAGACACTCAGATCGATAGATTTCCGCATTTATAGTTCCGGTAGTGTAAAAAATGGTAGACTTCAAACCGCAGGAACATATTGCTTGAGTTTCGTCGTCCATCAAAATGCATGCATCCGGTCGCTGCAAAGTTCGCGAATACAATTTCCGGGCCTTTGTTGCAGCACGTTGCTTTTGTTCTGCACTTTGTTTGCCGATTTTCTGCTTCTTATAGGTCTTCAGGTTGTTCCGTTTCTTGATACGTTGGATCAATCCGACGCTCGTTCCCGCTTTATTGGCCAAATCACGTATCGACATTGATTTGTTCTTCCTAATTAGATATACCACTTTCTGGTCCAGTTTCGGGTTGGAAGATCCGAGTTTTCTACCTCTTCCTGGCAGTTCATCCAAAGAATAGTGTTCCCCAAAAATTGTTTATGATGGATTTTACAATTTTCGCATAGTTACACCCTTTTCACTTAGCCATGTGTCCAAAACCTTAATTTTCACTTCATTTTCAATGCGCGAAATTTTGGAAAAGAAGAATTTAAACCGTACAAAAAAGAAAATAAACGAAAAATCACAGTCAAACGCACAGGATGCAGTGATAAGCATATTAAACCCATCACAAATACGTGCGTGCAACGCAAATGTATGTGGATAGTTTATTTCCGATACATTCCTTATACTATATCAACAATATAGTTAAGGCACCTAATGTGTTTTATAAACATTACGAGGGATAACTAATATGGTATATTTGGTTAAATGCTGAAAAGTGGTTGACGCGGCTGGAGCTGCAAAACATTCTATAACATTCGCCCTAAGGGACCATTTACCCGAATGCTGCAACAAGATTGAAAAATATCTTCAAATGTCTTCCCGCCACTTTTTAACATGGTCAGTGAGGGTGGTACCCAAACCGACAAACCGACATGAAACTTAAAATCAACTCTTGATCGAGAATCTATAACGGCGGATTCAAATGTGCAGCGATCCTATGTGTAAAAACCATAGAAATTTGTTATCTAGATAAAAATAATTTGCCCGGAATAGTTTAGACACCACCAACTCAAACATTTTGTATGCGTGTTCGTGGCTAGGATACACATTTTTCGCGAACACGGCGGCCGATGTCAGTTTTGTGTTTTGATCAGAAATTTGATGGTACTTTGTATGGCCATTCATGTCGGTTTGTCGGTGGTACCCATATGGCAAGGAGAAGCCTAATATTTAGGATTTTGAAAATTTCACAAGATTCTGAAAATCTTAACAACTTAGATGAGCATGAGCATGATTGACCGCCCGAGGATGCAACTCTGTTATTTCCAGATCAACTGTAATTACACAGAAAACCAATAGACGTTGCTTGGGAGTAGCATTCTTCCTCAATGTATAATACTGATGATCTAAAATTAGGAAATACCAGCGCCAGCCATGTCCGAATGCTGGTCAAGAAAGGAATGGGTAGGAATATGTTGACGTAATACTCGCTTTAATGAATGCCTAGAACACCTCTGCACTTCCACGAGAAATCACTTGGATGTTGAATAAAAGGGTTGGGATTACAGCAGGATTCGTTTTGGTAAACGATATGCTGAATTGATGTCCTAACGATTCCATAGCGCGAAAGGGATTGGGTTTGAACCCTCGGTCTTCTACTCAGTACGCAAAATCGGTCGCCACCGAGCTCCTTATATCACAAAACCATTACGATCAAGTTTCCGTTCAATTTGTTGTTAGTATGTTTCGATCCCGACGACGACAACAACTGCTCTTGGGAAGAATTCGATATGGATCTCCAATCAACACGTCTTTCCTAAAACTCAAATATTATTTCTTTTACGTACCCGTTTTTTTTAACGGAATTACATTACGGTTCTAACCCACGATCTTCTGCTCAGTAAGCAAAAACGGTCGCTCTAAGACCACTGTTCCCCTCACATCACAACAAGCGTCGAAATACGATCGTTCATTATCGGTTACAAGAAGCGATTACAATGAAAAAAAAAAATCACCGAAATGTCTTCCGAACCGGATCAGGCGTACGTCACATTTGTCTAAATATTCGTATTACTTTTCCAAATCGTTCCACCGATTTCTATTATTAACGATTTTCTACGATAGAGGCCTGGCTAGATCAACTCAGTAATGTACCGAGGCTTGGGTTTTAACCCATGGTCTTCTACTCATTAAGTGAAAACGGTTGCTCTATAACAACCGTGTCCCTTACATTACCACAATCTACGATTGACTTAACAAGAAGGTATTAAAATGAAGCGACGTCCCCGTAATCCACCAACAGTGTCTTCAGAATTGAATCACGCATACATCCTTTCTGAAATTCAAAGTTTAAATAATTCAACTGTTGGTTATTAACTGCGCTTTATGCTCTCGAAACCCAATGATGGAGGTTTATTCTGTTGTCGGAGAGCTTGGGATTAAACCCATGATATTCTGCTCACTAAACAAAAACGATCCCTCCAGGGTCATCGAGCTTCTAAAAACCACAACACTCCACGACAACATATTATTAGGTTTTCGCTTGGTATGTAATGAACAACAGAGATACGCGATAGTTCATAGTTAATTAGTTGATAGTTAATTTTAAATATACGAATGGTACAGCGTACGGCGACTATGACGGCGACTACGACAAAAGCAAATTTGAAACTTACCATGTTATGATATAACACCTTTTCCCGGAACCTCTACTGGATCTCAATGTCCGCTATCTGTCACTGTTTGCAAAAATATCTGATAGCAATTACCTTTGTCGAAATACTTCCTTTAACGAAAACTAATTTTCTTGCATTGCCTTGGTCATCTGCGACGAGTTTCGCATCTAGTGCTTTCTTAGGAATCGTTCGCGGTGACTAGTTACCGCCGCTAAGTCGCCGGTGGTGTAGTGGTAAGCGTGATTACCTCTCACCCCAGCAGGTCTGAGTTCAATCCCAGTCGGCGCCGCCGGGATGTTCTGAGGCATAACATCTCTGATCAGTAAAGCCGTTGGTCCCCGGTTCATGAGTTGATGGGTCGATAGGTAGGGTCCAAGTGTAGGAGCTGCCTCCCTGGCGTCGGTAGCATTAGTGTTCAGCACGGAAAACAAGATCGACGGAAAACAATGCAAAAAATTCCAAATCTGTGGAAGAAAAACATGCAGCAAAAATAAACTCGTTAGATCTTGACTACGGAGATGTCCATAAACCAGTCGCATCGTGTAACCTGTAATAAAGTCTGAGAACAGGTAAAGAGTGAGGTTACCTGACGCCACTGTCATAAACAACGTAGAATGCAGGGCTGTTACAAGATTTTCTAAATTTGATCCGTGGAATCCGCGATTTCTCAAAAGAAATCCGCGACTTCAAATACTAATCCGCGACAAAAAAAAACTGTTTTCATTACCTAAAAATACCATTTGTATACTACTACATGGCATTTCAAGCTTATTGTTTATAGTTTATTAGATTTTTGCCTACTCTCAACTTAGTGTTATTTGAAGTACTTTCACATTTTAATTGAGAGCTTTCTATGCCTGTACCACAGACAAACAGACATAACACATTGAATATTTCTCACTGTAAAACATCGTCGCTAAAACATTACCGCCATCTGTTGAGTACACTGTGGTGGGCACTAAACTGAACAGATGGCGGTAGTGTGTAAACGTCAAACGCAAGAAAATTGACTATGCGCGCCACAGGTGGCGGTACTACCAACTACGATACGTTTAAATTGTCCGTTAAATGCTTGTTCGATGAACAACTTGCGAGTGTTATGTCTGGTTGTCTGTGCCTGTACCATGCCCAAGGAAGTAGAGAAATGTTCCAACCCGAAAAATGAATAGATCGGACGGAAAACGAACTCAGTCGCCTCCAGCATGGACTTGCTTTGTAGCTGCGCCTTTACCGATTGAGCTAAAGGAGTATTGTTTGTAACCTTTGAAAAAAAAAAATAACAATGTATCATCTTCAGTTATTTATGTATAGCATAAATTCTGAGTAAAAAACACCCTTACATTATGTAAGAGATGAACTAGCCTATGGCTAAAAATCTCTTAAATAAAGATTTAAAAAAAAAACCTTACATTATGACATTCTATTGTATAATACCGGCCTAGATTTGATGAAACATTATTTTTAAAAAAATAATGCATTTTCATTTGAAATGCAAATTTTCTTGAAAATCAACCTTTGCGTCTCTGAAGTATTTTGTTGTCCTAAATGTTGTAAGTTAATTTGGCTCTAATTTTCTCATTTTTTACCGATTCAAATCAAACACCCTGCACATAATCGAGAAATTACCAGAGTTTCATAAGTCACACTTGTTGGTCACGTCGCGGTTCTGTATTTACACGGATATTCCTTGGGGTATGCCCAA